TATGAAATAATAAGATAGATTAATTAATAATTATTAAAAAAGAATGAAAAAAAAAGAAAAAGGAAAATAAATTAAAAGAGCTTTAATGTTTGAAATTAACTTAAAACAAATAAACTGCTTTTATTAAGTTTAAGTTTTAATAGCAAAAAATAAAGAAAAAATATCAAATAATAAAAAACGAATAATAAATAATAAAAATTTAAATGAATATTAAGTAAAGATAGCTAAATAATTTTTGTTTTAATAAAAATTAATAAGTAATGATAATAATTTCTATAATAAAAATTATTTATTTTAATAAATTGAAAGCTAAATATATAAAAAATATTAATAAATAATAGAAATATTATTAATTAATACAATATACCTCAGATTAATATGGAGAACCTAATGAGATAAAAGCGAAGAGTTTATAAACTTTTTTTATAAATAAATATAAATTTAAATGATATTAATAAAAAATAAATAATTACTTCTTCTAATTTGTAATATTCGTTAATCTATTATATCATTTATTTTTTTTTTCAAAAATATTGAATAGCAATCAATTTATGGATGGATTTTAATAAATTATAAATGGAAGAAAAGAACAAATAAAATTTAATAATTAAATAATTATCAAATATTAATTTATAAATTTGCTTTTATGAAGAGATATCACAGAAAAATTAATATAATATTCATTATTTAATCTTAATATTTGTATTTAAAGCATACACTTAAAAATATAGTAGGAATTAGAAATAAACAGTTAGTCATATTAGAAAAAATTATAGTAGTTAATTAATGTTCTAAAGAAGAAGTATAAATTAAAAAATGAATAAAATGGATATAAAAAATAAATAATTACATTTAATATTAAAAAACCATGTTTATTAATTATTTATTAATCAATTATTTTTAATCATACTATCAATAAATAAATATTAAATTATTGATTTTAGTAAATTCAATCTATTTTTAGTTTTACTAATCTTTTTATTTTTTGAGCTAATCTTTTGATTTATGTTTTTCTTTATTAAGGCAATTCACTTTTAATAATAAATATAAATTTATTTTTTAGATAATGAAAAAAATTTTAGTTAAAATTATCTAATTTTAAGCAAAAAAAAAGTAATTACTTGATAAATATATTCAATAACTTTATATTTTTACAGTTGATAATTTCTCTGGATTTTAGAAACTTCTCATCATTACTTATAAAATAAAGATATTTTAAATAAAAACTTAAAAACTTTAAAACATTATGTTTTTGAAAAGTAATAAATAAAATTTACTCTGAGCTAAAAGCTAAATTTTTAAGTTAAGTGCAGTTACTCAAGCTTAATGCAATATTTTATACTCCTTTATCACCAATTTCATTACCACTTTTCAAATAAAATAAATCAATTTATTATGTATTTAAATTTGTTTTAAATTTAAATCAAAATATATAAAATAATTTAAACTTTTTTAGTGTTCAATAAATACATATAAAATAATTTTACTGAAAGTTAAATTTGAGATTAGTTAGGAATTTGCAGTTACCAAGTACTGTATCAATAGTAGAAGCTCCATCATCGCCAATTTAATTGTTGCTTTTATTAATGAAAATCATGTTTAATTAAAAATTTAAGATATAAGGGAAAAGTGTGGCCTGGCACCAGATTTT